AAGGGCACAGATAAGCCTTCTCAAAGGAGTTCCTCTACTTCTGGTTAATACTTGCATAAAATTTCTTTGTTATTTAAAAAACAGATTCAACAACTGCATTAAAATGACAGACAAAGGAATTTAATGTAAACATATTAAATAGTGAGGTAGTGGAGGAAAGCCCAAGAAAATGGCCCTGAAATTATACAGTATACTAACAGCATACTTTTGTTTAATGCACTCATCTGAAATTCCTTTTTTTTTGTTATTTCATAGAAGAATTAATTAATTTAAAATAAATTGATTAATATCTGGTCTAAAATAGTCGACAAAAATATTTTAGACAAATTAAATCATTTGTTTGCTATGCTTCCATTGTGCAATGATTAGAATAATCATTGTTGTATTATTTTTCCTTACAAATTTTATCTCAAATGCATTAATTAAAAATATGCAATAACTCAGTTGGATAAATGTCACCTTTAAACTAAAATAATACTTATTGACTTGCTGATTCCAATTAACTGCTCTTTCTGAGCAACCTGCATTATACCTGCTGAGTAACTGGGAGCATAAAATCGATGTTAGAATTGATCTACAAATGAGTAAACAAAATTATTAGGCTTTAGAGTTAGTCAGAATGTATTACTACAGAGAAGATGGACTAAAATCATTGGTGAGGCTAAACCTAAGAACTATAGCATTATATATAAATCACAAATGTAAAGCTTTTTCAATTTTAAATTAGCCTCATGCACCATTAACTGATGGTGTAGTAGGATCATTGTTGCCACTGCAGTCTTTCTGCACCTAAAGACTGGTTGGGTACGTAAAAATGGATACAGAATAACATAGTGCTGAACGTCGTGTCCCTCTGATTTCAAACAATTTACTAATAAGATAACAGTGAATAATTTTGTCTGCCCAAGAGATAGCCAGTTCCACTTTTCTTGTGGACATTACTGGGTTGGAGGTATTGTTTTGTTAAAATTAAAATTCACTTGAATGTAGTACCCAAATGAACACTAAATTCTCACTATTTTGTGTTTAATGTCTTGTGCATTAATTAATTGTTGAGATCAAAATGTACATTAAAATGTATGTTTTTTATGTGTGAAAAAGTCCTAAGTTCAAGAAAAGATTCAATTAAAGACTGATGCAAATTTACACCTATGCTTTTAAGATAAAAAAGCCATTTGTGGATTGTTTAGGCATATACATAGGATTTTTGAGCTTTCACTAAGTATTATTTCTTATTTATCTGGTTTACTACTAGGCAGCAAAGCAAGGGTCTTTTCTTTATCACACCAGAAAGTTACTGCAAGCTGGCTTGAAAATCACAGGTGAATGTAAAACATTACTATAATCAAAAATAAAACTAATCAAATAAAGAAACAAAATTATTGAATTTTTATATTGGTAAAAAAAGTGGCATGCTACCAAAGCTTTTCAATTTAAATGTTCTGATTGTTTGGAATTTGACATTCTTGCTTTTGCCTGACTATTGCAAGATGAAAACCTTTGGTAGCATATTGGAGCAAAAGTTGGTCATTTGGCCCCTTGAGCCTGAACTGTCTTTCAATAAGATCATAGCTGATCTATTTGCATTTAGCATTGCTCATTCCCACCTAGTCCTAATAACCTATGATTCCCTCATTTAACAAGAATCCACCTAAATCTGCCTTGAAAATATTCAATGACCTTGCCTCCATCATCTTGAGGTAGCATGTTCCAAATTCCAAGCAACCTTCAGAGAAAACATTTCACCTCATCGCTGTTCGAAAAGGACATCCTTTAATTTCAAAATAGAGACCCCGAGTTCCAGATTCACCCATGAGTAGAAACATCATCTCCATATCCACTTTGTCAAGACTGACCAGAATTTTATACACTTCAATCACATCAGCCCTCACTGTTCTAAAATCCAGTGATAACAAGACCAGTCTGCTAACCCTTTCTCAAAACACAATCTGGTCTCTCCTGATATCAATCTCGTAAATCTCTTCTAAACTACTACCAATGCATGTCTCTCAGGGCTGTGTCCGCAACTCTCTGTAGTTTCTTGCAGTCTTGGGAAGAGCAGTTGCTATACCATGCTGTGGTGCATCCAGATAGGATGCTTTCTATGGTGCATCTATAAAAATTGTTAAGAATCTTTGCAGACATGCTGAATTTTCTTAGCCTCCTGAGCAAGTAGAGGCATTGTTGTGTTTTCTTCACTAATATGGGTGGACCAGGACAGACTTTTAGTGATCATCGCTTCCAGGAACTTGACACTCTGGGCCATCTCCACCTCAGCACTATTGATGCAGACAGGGGTGTGCTATCCACTCCACTTCCTGAAGTCAATGACCAGCTCTTTCATTTTGCTGACACCATACCACTAAGCTGTTTGTTTCCTGTACTCTGTCTCGTCATTGTTAGAGATCCAACCCACAATGGTGGTGCTGTGAGCAAACTTGTAAATAGAGTTAGGGCAGAATGTGGTCACATAGTCATGCATGTTTAAGGAGTAAAGTAGGGAGCTGAGTATGCAACCTGGCGGGTCACTGGTGTTGAGGATTATTGTAGTGGAGGCATTGTCACCTCATTACTGATTGCAGTCTATGGATCAGGAAGTCGAGGATCCAGTTAGAGAGGAGAAAGCCAAGACCTAGGTCTCGGAGTTTGGAGATGAGTTTGTTTGGAATTATGGCGTTGAAGGCATAACTATAGTCAATACATCGGAGCTTGACTATAGTCAATACGTAGGGATGAGTAGGGGCAGGAAGAAGGCATCTGCCTGTTGCGCAGGTAGGCAAATTGCAAAGGCTCAAGGCAATCTGATAGGCTGGAGTTGATGTGAGCTATGACTAACCTCTTGAAGCACTTCATAATTATGGAGGTCAGAGCCACCGGATGGTAGTCATTGAGGCATGCTGCATGATTTTTCTTTGGCATTGTCGTCTTCTTGAAGCAGGTGGGGACTTCAGATCGAAATAAGAAGAGGTTAAAGATGTCAGCAAATACTCCCAACAGCTGTTCTGCACATGGTTGGGGACTCCTTCCAGGCCAGTCACTTTACATACGTTCACTCTCTAGATGGCTGATCTGCTGCAGTGACCATGGGTACAAATGAATCAGAGGCTGTTGGGACACTGACCTTCTGTTCAAAGCGAGCATAGAATGCACTGAACTTGTCGTGTAGGGATGTATCACTGCCCATGTTTATATTTGACTTCACTTTGTAGCCATTACATAGTGTAAGCCTTGCCACAAATAATGGGTGTCCATATGATTATTCTGGGTCTCAACCTCAGTTTGGTATTACCTTTTGGCATCTATGTGGTCTTGCGAAGGTTGTACTTGGATCTCCTGTATAGGTCAGGATTGCCCTACTTGAACGCCTCAAACCCAGACTTCAGTAAAGAGTGGAACTCCTGGTTCATCCATGGTTTCTGGTTGGGGAATATGTGGATTAACTTCTTCAACACACAGTCTTCTACATACTTACTAATAAAGTCTGTAATGGTAGTAGCATACTCATTTATATTGGCTGCTAAGTTCTTGAATATGGACTAGTCCATTGACTCTAAATAGTCCCGCAGAAGCCCTTCTGTTGTTTCAGACCAACACTGGGGACTTGGATTTCTGTACTAGGTTCTAACGCTTCAAGTTCTGCTTGTAAGCCTGGAGGAGGATCACAGCGTTATGATCTGATCTTCCAAAATATGGATGGGGATGGAGCAGCAGGCATCTTTGATGGTTGTACAGCAATGATCAAGCATGTTCGGACCTCTGGTGGGACAGGAGATGTGTTGAAGGTATTTTGGTAGTTCTTGAGGTTGGCTTGGTTAAAATCACTGGCTACGATGAACAAGGCTTCGGACATTCCATCTCAAGACTATCTGTCGCGTTGTATATTTCATCATATGTATTCTAATACTTAGGTATCATGAAGTTACTAGGTAGTAACTCAAGGCAGTTCATATATTTGATGAGAAGTGTGAATGTATGAATGATTTATGAACACTTACATCAACATAAGATTCAATTAAAATCCCTGCCAGTTTTATTTTTTATTCTAAGTTCTACAAATTGCTTTATTCATGTTTTTTTTAAAAACAGAACTTTTCTTAATGCTCATATTGGTTGTGCTAAATGCAATGGATAAACTGTAAAATCTATGATGGATAATAAATCTGATGATGATAGAAGTTGTATACATAAAAATACTTTTGAAGTATGAGCAAGAAAGGATGGCTCGTTCATAAGGCAGGGAGGGTTCAATCTGACACTGGAAACTGCAATGCTTCCACATAGTGCAAGCCAAGACTGTGATAAGTAGGCTTATCCTGAGTGGACAAGTTATATGGGAAACATAACAGTACTCGTTACCTACCTATTTTAGTAAATTATTTAGGAGCTGGTTAGCTCAGTTGCTGGAGGGTTGTCCTGTGATGCAGAATGATGCCAACAGCGCAGGATGAGTTTATCACGAAAGTCCTTCCTTTTTAATCTCTCCCCTAACCTAAGGCATTGTGACCTTCAGGTTAGACCACCATAGCTCTAATGACAGCAAAGCCATATGGCCCTCTGGGATTGTGGTCACTTTACCTTTTGATCTTTTATTTTAGTAAAGTGCATACTTCTTGCTGTTTTAACTCTGCAGTTTCCTTGTAAATACTGGTTCATCACTGTTTGCATTAAAGCTCCCTGGATCTAGAAATGTAGGGTCCTATTCTTTTCACAAAAATTGTGTGTACACTCCATACTAGGCAAACAGAAACTGATCTGACCTGAACTTCTTAGGCTAATGAAACTTAACTGAAAATATTGTTTTGCATATACGTAACAAACAATTGAACACAAATAGTTTCATCAAACTGAAAAAAATGTAAACATCTAGTGTCAAGGAATTATTTCTTTTTCACAGGAAAGTATTAAAATTTATTTCTGCATTTGCTAGAAAATCAGAGTCAAATGACCATGTACTAGTGGTTGAAAAGATCAATGTAAAATTTGAACGTGTAGATATTTACCATGTGTAGCTGAACTCTTCCCTCAAAAAGCACTGCTGCATAATCAGAATTTAAGCACATACTAGTCACCGTGCCCAGATACTCCACGTCTTTTAGCTTCTCCACTCCTAAAAATTCAAGTAGTAAACCAGTCAATATGCTTTGGGATTGAAAAATACATTCTACATCAACATCACTTGGCTCCTGATGCAATATAGCCTTACAAACAAGGACAAATGAGGTGAACTAAAGCAGTACAGTGAATGATTGCCCTTGACATCAAGGCAACATGTGGCCAAGTGTGATATCAAGGAGCCCAAGCAAAACCGAATTCAATGTGAATCAGCGGAGCACCTAGTACAAAGGACAGTGATTGTGGCTGTACGAAGTGACTGACTTTTAACTACCCTCTGTAATAGCTTAACAAGCCATTCAGTTGTAGATTGTTTAGGGATGGGCAACAATCTGGCATTACCTGTGACACCCACTTCCCATTAAAGAATATAAAAATTCTCAGACCCAGAACATCATTGCAGAAGTTCCTCAGGTTAGTGTCCTAGACCCAAACATCTTCAGCAGCATCATCAATGACGTTCCCTCCATCATTTAGTCAGAAGTTGAAGTATTCACTAATGAAGGCACAGCATTCAGTATTGTCCATAATTTCTTGGACACTAAAGCAGTTTGTATCTATATGCAGCAAGACTTGGATTCAGGAGTGGACTGATACGTAGCAAATAACACAAGTGAGAGGCATTGACTTTATCCAACAAGACAATCAAATCATTGCCCATTGATATTCAATGGTATCAACAATAATTCTGGGGGTCTGCCATTGACCAGAAGCTGAACTGGATCAGCAACATTAATATTATGATTACAACATCAGGTCAGTGTTTTGGAAATTCTGTTGCAGCTAAAGTAACACCTGCTTCCTATTAAAAAAAGAACGAAAGAACTGTGGATGCTGTAAATCAGGAACAAAAACAAAGTTGCTAGCAAAACACAGAGTTAGCATTTCGGGTCCGGTGACCCTTCCTCAGAATTCTGAGGAAGGGTCACCAGACCCGAAACATTAACTCTGTTTTTTCCTTCACAGATGCTGCTAGACTTGCTGAGCTTTTCCAGTAACTTTGTTTTTGTACCTGCTTCCTATTGTCTGTCCAACATCTAAAAAGCACAAGTCAGAAGTGTGATGGAATATTTGCCACTTGCCTTGATGAGTGCATGTCTGACAACATCAATTCAGCACATCTACTACATTAAATATTAGTTCCCCCACCAATAATGCCCAATAGAAACAGTGTCAGGATTATCTTCATTGCTGTTAAATGCAGTGAAGTAAATCCTTTGAAACATTTCATTAATTTTTGATGTGTGCACCAAGCATTCATCGGAACCTACGATTTTCTCCAAGGGCATAAAACCAGGCTCGATTATTCATTCCAACAGCTACATGATACGGGCCAACAGCGATAAAGTTAGGTTCTACTTCAACAGAAACTGTGATTTGTGGTTCCTGTGGGAGAGATAAATAAGAATGCAGTGTGGTGTAAGTTTAATAGGCTTGCCATTATCTATATTTTCTCTGATAAAACTACACCTAGTTCATTCATTCAGCAAGGACAGAACATAGCAATAGTTCTTTTGTTTTTGGCTGTCCAGTATGACAAATAATTCACAATGAAGAATTACAAATGTCCATTCAATATAGTATTATTTAATGGAACTTACTTCTGTATGCACCAAGTGACCAAAATTTTTCATCCTCTCTGTCTCTTAAGAAATAATTCAGTGGAACATTTCTGGTAAAAAACCCAAAGCAGGCAATACAAATGGGACACTGCAGGTAATGGTCAGAACTAGACTCAGAAACCCATTAATATGTTATCTTCCATTGGTAATAGCTGCTCTCCTTACGAGTTCAGGGATCTCATCAATTCTCTAAACTTCAATATTTATATGCTTATATTTAGCAGCAGCGAGAATCTAATTATTGATGGTTTGACTGATACATTTTGCTTAACATTTTATAAACTAGTTCTGACAAATACTAGATCTTTTCTCTTTACTGACAGACATTCTGCATATTGCCAACAATTGTGTTTTTTTTATATTATGAGCATCTTGCTTAGTTCAATTATTTTGTAAAGTTTTTTGAACACGATGGTTTGAACAAATATTTCTGGTCTGCATATGGAATAAAGCTGACAATTCATTCAACTTTTCAAAAATACATTAGGCAGAACTGCCAACTAATTGAATTGATATATAAAACAGCATACAAATCACTATTAAAGACTTGTTTGATTGCACAATAAAATTCCAGGTAAAGGACATAATATTTGCTATCCAACAAAATTCACTCCTCACTAAAGTTTGTGTGTCACTTACTTTGAAATGATAGAATGGGACAGTAGGGAACAATCAATTCCAACTTCAAAATCATGACATTGCAAAATGGTATAGGTGTAAACAATAAATATTCAGTTTCATAACTAGTCAAACAATTTAAATTTTTTATAATTGCACACATACTTCCTCAACATGATTAGTCACGGTGACCTCCAGCAGAGAAGTTAGGAAAGCTATGCGAGTTCCACACGTGTTTCCAAGAACTGGAAGTTTTGTAAGGAAAACGTGCAAAGTTCCACGCAGTGTAGATACAGCAAGCAACTGTCCATCATCTGTCCAAGATAGCCGATCCAGACCTGAAAATTTGATATTAAAACATCAAAAATACTGCACATGAAACTTAACTAGCGAGTAAACATGAATTCAATACAAATTTAGCTTTAATCAATATCCAAAATATAAATATAATCATCCAATCACGTATTAAAATCATTACTTATGGCCTATACTCTTTACTTGGGTATTACACTTTCCTTCATGCCCCAGAATGGCATGACAAAATTATTTTTTATGATTAAGTAAGCGTTTATGAGTTGTCACCTCATGTCTTATACTAATTGGAAAAAGTTCTGAATGCTTCAGTTGTACAAACCTATAACTGAAGCACAGGCTCAGAGATTTGATGTTTCAACACAAGTAAAATGTACCAGCTGCCCAAGAACAGATCTTTTCCCCTCATCAGGCATGATTTATTTGTAGTTTTAAATTAGTACTTTCTTTAAATTAAAAAAAGAATTTCCATTTATCTCATGTCAATTCTGGTATTGAAACATCGTTATAAGTCATCTGTAAATCATCCACTAATTTTGCCAGTAGCCAACAGCATATCCACTCTAAGCCACCAATGAATGCTCACAAATCAGCAACAAGCCTTGGTTGCCGCTCTTTTTGCACTGTGCTGTTTTCTTACTTTCTTCCTGCCTTCACTAACTAATAAAGGTGATTGGGGTTGAGATAATCAGCTAATGGACAGTTAGTTTCTCATAGTTGAGGTTAGGGCAGTGGGTCCAGTCTGGTCAGAAAACAGCCCGATATAATCATCCTC